TCATCCTGAGTGAGGTAACCCAGACCCAGAAAGACAAACATGGTATGTACTCACTTAAAAGTGGATATTAGCTGTAAAGGATAACCATGCTACAACCCACAGATCCAGAGAAGCTAAGCAACAAGGAGGACTCAAAGGGGGAATGTATGAACCTCCCTGGGAAGGGGAAATAGACATCACAGGTGGAGAAGTAGATTGGGGGACCAGAACAGGAGGGACCAGGTAGAAGGAGGATGGATTGGGAGAGTACTGGGAGAGACGACTGGAATTATGGGGCATCTTGGGGACAAACTAGAAATCTAGTGCAATGGAAATTCCCAGGAGTGTATGAAGGCGACCCTAGCTAAGACTCCTAGCAATGAGGGATACAAAGCCTGAACTGGCTGTCTCCTGTAACCAGGCAAGACTTTCAGGAGAAGGATTGGGACACCAAACCAGCCATATAACCTTCAATTTGTCCTGCCTGCAAGATGTGCTGCAGTATAGGTGTCATAGAAATTGTGGGAGTGGCCAACCAATGACTGGTCTAGCTTAAGACCAGAGGGAGCCCACCCCGACACTTGCCTGGAGGACCAGCACTCAGAGGCTGGGTATCCCAGAGACCTAGGATGGAACCAAACACAACTGGCAAAAAAAAAAAAAAATCAATAAAATGATTCCTAATGATATTCTGCTATACTTATAGATTGATGCCTAGCCCAGTTGTCAACAGAGAGGCTTCATCCAGCAACTGATGGAAACAGATGCAGAGACCCACAGTCAAATATTAGGTGGACCTTGGGAAATCCTGCAGAAGATGGGGAGGAAGGATTGTAGAAGCCACAGGGGTCAAGGACACCACAAGAAAACCCACAGAATCAACTAACTTGGGCTCCTAGGGGCTCACAGAGACTGAACCAACACCAGGGAGCCTGCATGGGACGGACGTAGATCCCCTGAATATATGTTACAGTTGTGTCGCTTGGTCTTCTTGTGGGACTCCTAACAGTGGGAGCAGGGGCTGTCTCCAACTCTTTTACCGGGTTTGTCGCTTGGTCTTCTTGTGGGACTCCTAACAGTGGGAGCAGGAGCTGTCTCTGACTCTTTTACCGGGTTTTAGGATCCTTATCCTTTATGGGCTGCCTTGTCCAGCCTTCAACTTGATATGCCGTGTTTGGTTGATATCCTGCCCTTCTCTGAATAGAAATGGAGGAGGAGTGGATGGGGAGGGCAGAGAAGAGGTGAGGGAGGGACTGGGAGGAGAGGAAAGGGGAAAGAGCCGTTGGGTTGTTAAAAAAAATTAATTAAGAAAGGAAGGAAAAGAAAAGAAAATTTAAACTGACAAACTTGTCTAGACAGGTTAAGAAGAAATATGTAAAAACAAGTTAGTAACATTAGAATGAAAAAGGAGATATTGCCGCTGACTGTGAATATTCAGGTATTAATAAGATTTTATTGGCATCTACATGCTAACGCTTTGACAGCTCATATGAAATGAACACTTTCTTTGAAATATTCATGAAAACTAACATAAATAGGAAATCCAGATCAGCTCGTTTCCGTTCAAGATATTAATTCCATAATTAAAATATTACCCAAATGAAACTTGAGGTGTAGATGGCATCACGAGTCAGTCTTCCCAAATGCTTAAGGGGAAAATGTCATATAAACCGTGAGGCTATACCGTTAATACCAACACCTGACAAGGACATTACAGGGAAGGAATAGTGCACACTCTCATAAGGACAGACACAAGCCCTAACACCTTCATAAATTAAACCCAGTGACAGGGAGAAGAAAAAAAAAAACCCACAACCATGGAGTTTATTCCGGGAGTGTAAAGTTGGTTTAGTGTTTGAAAAGCTATTAGCACAATCCACCACATTAATATATAAAACTGTACCAGACTTTTTTCTTTTGGCCACCAACCAGCTCCAAAATCACGACATGGTGACTTATTGGTTATGAATGCCCAGCCTAGCTTAGGCTCCTTTCTGGACAGCTCTTTTAACTTCAATTAACCTGTTTCCCTTTATCTACCTTTTACTTCGGAGCTTTTTACCTTTCTCACTTCTGGATATCTTACTTTTACTGCTTCTCTATGTCTGTCTGTCTGTCTGGTGTCTGCCTGGCTTCTTGCCCCGGGTGTATTCCCTGTTCTCGCCTGCTTCTCTCCTCCTTCCTTTTTCTTCTGAGCCTAGATTTCTCCTTCTATTTATTCTCTCTGCCCACCAGTCCCGCCTCTCCTTTCTCCTCCTAGCTATTGGCCATTCGACTCTTTATTAAACCAATCAGGTGCCTTAGGCAGGCAAGGTGCAGCAGATGCAACACATCTTTACATAATTAAATGCCCATCTTTACATCATTAAACAAATGCAGTATAACCAAAAGTAACACACCTTTACACAGTAACAGTAACAGTCTGCAGCATAAGCAAACGTAACACATCTTTGCCCAGTTAATATTCCACAACATAAAACAACTAATAAGATTAACACTATGACCTCATCAGATGCAGAAGAAAACACAACAGTTGGCAATTATTTACTTAAAAAGCTGAGAGATGGCTCAGTGGTTAGGAGTGTTTGCTGCCCAATCATGAGGACCAGAGTTCATATTCCCAGTGCCCATGTTACAAGGCATTTCACAAATACCTATAATCCAAACATCGAGGGATCGGATGCCTTCTTCTGGCTTTTGTACTCTCTCTCTCTCTCTCTCTCTCTCTCTCTCTCTCTCTCTCTCTCTCTCTCTCTCAAAAACTTTTTAAGGCAGCAATGAAAGGAAACTTCCTCTGAAGCTCATAGAACATCACCTTTTCCACTTGAGGTTGGGGAGGGAAATGAGAGTATCTAATATACCATTTCTAGTGTTTTACTGGACGTGCTAACTGATTAATAACACAAAAACTGAAACAAAAAGCCTAAGTTCTGAAAAGATTTATAGATTGTTCATATGGAAAATCCAAATCTTACTAGAGGTAGTAAATATATTTAGCAATGTCACCAAATACCATGTCAGTGCATGAAAATCAATTGTAGTTCCACATAGAAGGAATCATTAGACAACAAAACCCAGTGGCTGGGGAGAGGGCTCAGTGGGTAAAGGGCTTGTTGTGCAGGCATGAAGACTTGAGTTTGGTCCCCACCACCCATCCAAAGCTGGGCATGATATCTCACACCTGTAATCCCAGCACGAGGGAGGCAGAGACAAGAGGATGCTTGGAATTTGCTGGCCAGCCAGTCTAGCTGAACTAGTGAATTCTAGGTTCAGTGACAGACATCAGCTTCCACACAATGCATGCACACACGAACACATACACACACACTAAAGGAAACGAAATTAAAATGTCATCTATAGCAGCATTTAAAAACACCAAGTGTATCAGAGTAAATCCAGCAAAGGACACACTGTACACTTGTACAATGACAACTACAAACCGTTGCTGAGAAGAATTAGATAACTAAATGTTCCTGTTTTTAGAACATTTACTATTCAGATGTTAATTCTCCCCCAAACTGACCCATAAATTCAACATAGACAACAACCGCAGCTCCAGCAGGATATGTACATATTAATGAAGTTAATCAGGTCCTAAAATGTACTCAGCAGTGCAAAAGTCCAAGAGAACCTAAGTAACTTTGAAGGACAAGTTCCGAGTACTTAATTGTAAAGCCTCTGGAATTAAGACACTGGCATCGAAAAAGGATGAGCAGAAAGACCAGGATAATAGAATAGGTGGCCCCCAAAAAGGTCTACACCTGCTTGACCCCAAAGAGACACTGCCAGGCAGAAGCTGAGCCACTGAATATTCAAATTTGGGATGAGAGTACCAAGCCTTGTCTTCCTCAGTCCCCTTAGGTGGCAGACCTGAGATGTAAGAAGTGAATGACAAAGCTAAAAGAAAAGAAAAAGAAAAGACTATTACCTTCTGGAAGGAAGTGTGTAGACTCTTTAAGATACAAGGGCTCTCGTGATATATGAAATGATCATTAAGTAGGTCTCATTAAAACCAGAAATTCACAGGCTGGGCATTGGGATTTCATTCTTTAATCCCAGCACTTGAGAGGCAGAGGCAAGTGGATCTATGTGGGTTCAAAGCCAATCTGATATACATGGTGAGTTCCAGGCCAGTCAGGACATATACAGTGCATACCTTTAATCCTAACACTGGGGAGGCAGAGATAGGTGGGCATTTGTGAGTTCTAGGCCAGCCAGAGCTACATAGTAAGACCTTGTCTCAAAAACAGAAAGAAAGGGGGCTGGGCAGTGGTGGAACATGCCTTTAATCTCAGCACTAGGGACGCAGAGGCAGAGGCAGAGGCAGAGGCAGGCTGATCTCCGAGCTCGAGGCCAGCCTGGTCTACAGAGTCAGTTCGAAGACAGCCAGGGCTACAAAGAGAAACCCTGTCACGAAAAACAAACAAAAAACAAAACCAACCAACCAACTAACCAAACTCTTAGAAGTTAAGATTAGGGAAGCAATCATTAAGACTAAAATGGCCAGTCACAGATCCTCATGAGTATTTATAATACACTGATCTGACACAAAACTGGTATCCAAAATGTACAAGAAACTCCTGCAACCAAGATCTGGAGTATCATGGATGTGAGAGAGAGAGATTGGTAGCACTCACAGAATGGTCCAAGTGGCAAGGCCAACAACACCAGCTGTGTGGCAGATGGGGAGTACCACAGCTGGTAAGCCTGAACTATATCTTCTAAAACTAAATGTTGTACCCATCTATGACACGTGATTTTACTTTTAGGTATTTAGGTATTCGCCAATAAACGTGAGCCATGCCTGAAAGGCAAGTGCAGGGATCCACTTGGATAAAGAGCTTTCCCCCTCCACTACCAGAACAGTTTCCCAGGACCAACACTATGTGATTTTCACAGTCCTCAGAAACCCCAGACCCCAGGAGGCAGCAGAATCCGGGCCTCCTCCTCTCTCCCCAAACCCCTATGCCTGCTGCTTTGAATAGGGCTGACTGCAAATGCGGAAGGCAAATGGTACGGACTATTTTCTTCTTTGTGATCTTCATCGGGCAAAGTGGAAGACGGCTTCTTCCTTTCGCCATTCTCCATGCTCGCCTCGAGTAGCTGGTTCCTTTGGCCCCCAGCCCCTGCTGACAAGGGTGGAGAGGTCAGACATACCCAGGGAAGCAAGGGTGGGGTTCTGAGGCCCGCGGTGTGGGAGGGTGGTCTGGGAGGGAGGTCTGGGGTAAGGGGACATGTCATGAGCTGGAGGCGTGGGGGTGAGAAGTCAAATGGCCAGTGGGAGACAGGTCTGAGAGTGAGATAGGTAAATTGGAGTAGAGGACAGCTCAGGGTTAAGGAGGGAAAGCCCGGGGTCGAAGAGAGAGGTCTGGGGCCGAGTTAGGGAGGTCTGAGTGGGAGAACCAGTCAGGGGTGAAATACAAGTCTGGAGCTACGAAGGGGAGGTCAAGGTAGGGAGACAGGTCAGAAATTGGGACACAGGTGTAGGGTCGAAGGGGAGGCAGTTACGGAGTTTGGAGGGAGATGGGAAGGTGAAGGAAAGAAGGTTGAAAAAGGCAGGGTGGGGTGAAAGCGGACAGGGTATAAGGCTGGGGAAGTTCGGCGGTTCTAAGGAGCGAAGCCTGGGGATTCCAATCGGAGGGGGGCGGGGCGGGGTTCCGAACGCGGGGTGGGAGGGGGACCTGGGCGCTAGCGAGGACGGGCCTGGCGTGCCTGAGGGCAAACAGTGCTCACCTGGGACCCGCCCTGAAGCGCGTGCTGCTCTGCAGGAGCCACGAGCCTCTCGGCTGGGCGTCTTGTGGTCGCCCCGGGCAACGGCCCCTGGCTGCGCGGCGCATTGTGCAGACCGATGGCGCTGGTGGCCTGGCTTGCGGCGTCCTGAGTGGCGCCCTACTCGGGGTGTGGGGCTTCGCGGACGCACAGGCAGAAGGGGCTGCAGACGGCTGCGCGTGTGGGGAGGCCGATGGCTGCGGTGCGCAGTCGATACCCGAGGAGCGGACTGAGTCCGGACACCGTTGCTGGCACTCACACTGAGCTTTGGTTCTGGATCTAGTCCCATGCTGCGGTCCGAGGAATGGCCAATGCCGTGGCGGGGACGGGGGCGGGGACTAAGGCTCCTGACAGTGCGGGCCATGCATCAGGGTTAGCTCTCAAGTGCCTGCTATCCCCGCCAGGGTCATGAGTTCCCGCTCCACATCTCCCACGCACCTGTCAGGGTCACACAGACAACCTTAGCACTCAGACTACACCAAGTCACAAAGACCAGGGAGTCACACCCTGCCCCACCCTCGGCTTCCTCCCTCCTGGCTCCCTTGCTGTTCACAAGATGCCTCCACATAGGTCAGAGGTGGAGATGGAGTCCCAGGGTCCTTCCAGGCAGGTGTTCTCCCCAGTCCCTTCACCAGCTGAGAGTGTCTCCTCGAGGTCAGGGTGGCTGTGGCACCTAGGTTCATTAGTGGGGTACCTGTGCTGTGCACTCGGTGTTCCCAGGCTGTCCCTTCCCTACAGCCAGTGCCACTCGCTGCCTTAACAGGTCAGTTCCTGTCTTTGTCCAGCTTCCCTATGTGGCACTTTGGGCTGTGTTAAGGAAGGCCTATCCATCCATCCACCCATCCACCCACCCATCCACCCACCCACCCATCATCCATCCATCCATCCATCCATCCATCCATCCATCCATCCATCCATCCATCCAAGTCGTCATTGTTTTTGTTTTTCTGAGACGGGGGTTTCTCCGTGTAGTTTTTGGTGCCTGTCCTGGATCTTGCTCACTCTGTAGACCAGGCTGGCCTGGAACTCACAGAGATCTGCCTGGCTCTGCCTCCCCAGTGCTGGGATTAAAGGTGTGCGCCACCGCCACCCGGCATTGTCATTGTTTTAAAGCCTAAACTTGAGATCATTTTCATTTGGTTTAAAGCAGTGGTTCTCAACCTGTGGATCATGATCCCCTTGCAGGAGTCACATATCAAATATTCTGCATATCAGATATCTACATTATGAGTGATAACAGTAACAAAGTTACAGTTATGAAGTAGCAGTGAAATAATATTATAGTTGGGGGTCACCAGAACATGAGGAACTTTATTGAAGGGTCGTGGCATTAGGAAGGATGAGAACTGCTGGATCAAAGGCATCTTTATTTCATAGGTCTTACTCTCAGGTGTAGGTGGCTTCTCCCTGACTGGTGATCCAGGCTTTACTCACCATACACATCAAAGAATAAATTAAAAATGGCTTTCCACTCAAAGGTCCTACTTCTCATCCCTGGTTTTTTGGTTTGTTTGTTTTCTTTCTTTTCAGAAGCATTTAACAGGCTATGACCACATTTGCATGTTAGCATTTATTGCCCAAGCATATTAAACTATACCAAACAAAAGAATACAAGAGACAATTTTTAGACCCCATTTATATGAGTTGTTTTTTAAGCTCTCTAAAATTAGAAAGTGCAAGCCAGCAGCAATCCCCCGCTGCCCCATTCTGGTTCTGAAGTTCAAGTCTCCGGTCTCCCCGCAGATGGCTTGCCATCCCAGTTTCCCCTTGGCTCCCTCCCCGCCCAACAATGTGCAGCAGAGCTGCAGCAGGCCCAAAGCCTAGAGGGCTCTGCACATATGCAGGCCAGAGGACCTCTCCTGGTGCTTCTGTGGTGCAGGCCCCAGCCCTCGGGAGCCGCAGAGGATGAAGATAGGACCAGGACTCCCCAAGGCTGGAGATGGAGCTGCTTGGCTTCGGACTTTCTACCTTCCAGGTGTCTTGCTTGCGTTTCTCTGACTAAAAAGAACAACTGCACTTTTCATGAGTCCTGGCAGTCAGAGTCATGTGCATTTAGTAAGAAGCCTAGAAGGGTTTTCATTATCTCCCTGGCCCTGGCAGCTCTTTGGGGGCACAAAATGCACCTCTCGTCTTTCCATTAGCCTCCTTGGAACCCACTGATACACCCCAGCTCAGTAAGGAACATTGCCACTCACCTCCCGGAGGAACAAAACCGATTCAGTGAAAGTGAAGGCAGGAAAGCAGTTCCTAAAACGGTTCTCAGTTTTACAAGGGGCCCAACTTACTGTGGATTCCTCGGTGCTCTTGTCAGTTGAGAGAATCCCGGTGATCTCTGGGGTTTGGGGGGTGGTATACAAACTATCTGTTGGCCATGATTTTCACCAAAGCCAAAGTGACTCTCACAGTCAAACTATCCCCGCACTGCGGCAAACATGCGGAGGCAGGGGAATGCCCTGAGGCCAAAACATCAGGCCCTATGTGTGAGTAAGGATCAAATCGGGGAGTGAAGAGGGCTGGAGAACAAGGATGACCTAGGCCAGCAGGGTCACCTGGGAAGTACAGATCTGACCCTCCCGACAGGGCACAACCTTCAACGTTTGCCTGTTCCAAAGTTAAACCACTACAGGAAGTGAAAACCACGAAGTCGCCTGGCCGGCCCTCACAGGAGGAAAAGAGTGTTAGAAAGTAGTTGTTGCAGGATGGTTAGAGCCTGTACGGTTGAACATGCCGGAGGCCAGGCACACACCAAGACTCGGCCTCCCTGTCCTGTAGTCACTGGGCCATTTGTACCACCACAGCTCTCCAGGCTTTCTCCTTGTCAAACTCCTTCAGGGGGCTTCTGGCCACCTGTGGTGAGAGACAGGACAGTGTTACCTCATCCGGGCCAGACTGGAAGGCAGGCGGGTTCAGCTTCGTCTGTGCAGCATCTTGGGTTCCTGGATGCAAGCTTCTACACTTGTGAAAGAACTGAGGGAGAGGATGCTAAGACAAGGGACAGACCATCTTAGAAATGCCCACATACTCTTCCAGAGTGTCGGCAGGTGTCCAGTGGGGCAGGTTTTAAGATGGCTGTGTAATTGGCAGCAAAAGAAGTGGACAACTGAGGCTGAGACACGCCTCCAGACACGAGAAAGGGTAACTCTAGCTTGCACACTTATTCAGAGTTCCAAAGATGGATAGTTCTGGAATCTGGCAACAACAATTTATTCACCTGGCTCTAAGGCCTGCTGGTCAGGACACAGACCCAGGTGGACTTCACTTGTCCCAAGACAAAGATAAGACCTGCCAGGCAGGACCTGCCTGAACATCTCCTTGGGCACAGAACAACCAGGTACTTAGTGGTCACTTCCTTGATGGCAGTGGGCAAGTTTGTCTTAGAAGACCCTACAGGGACAGGCTGGCTCAGGGAGCAGGCCCAACCTCAGTTGTGGGGGCATCAGAACTTAGGATGGGGTGGGAGTTGGGGGGTAGGAAGAGTCTTGTCCAGATAACTGCGGACTGGCTACTCCCGGCCCACTGGTCACTGGAATGTCTACATGCCAGAGCTCCACATGCCAGGCAGGGGCAGCCTTCTCCTTCAGAGCAGGGCATCTTCTGTGGGCGTCTAGGAAAGGCTTTCTCTGTGTCTGCGAAAGCACAGCTGGAAGCCCTGTGGCCATGGCTTTTTTTTCATGAATGGATTTGTGCTCATTTTTAAAAAATAACCTAGTTCAAACTTTATTTCTCCATGATTTTTCTTGAGTGTTTAAAACCGCAAATAAAGAAAAAAACCATCACAACAAATACTGAAGAACATTAGTGAAGGGGTCCATTACTCTGAGGACCCAGAATAGGGCATCCTGGGAAGGCAGACCACTTACCTCCCCTGCTGGGCGCTCCTGGGGACAGGTCTGGGCGTCCCAGGATGCAGCCTGTAGCCGGGCGTTGACCTTGAAGCTCACACATTGGATGGCTGTGCCAGTGTTGAGGCCCCCCTGAAGCAACAGCACCAGCAGCAAGAGCAGGAGCAGCACATCATAGGACTACAATGAAAGACCAAGACGTGAGCAGGTCCGCAGGCAGGCTCCTGCCAATTCTCCCGAAGATGTGAGCAGGTCCGCAGGCAGACTCCTGCCAATTCTCCCCAAGACGTGAGCAGGTCCACATGCAGATTCCTGCCAATTCTTCCCTGTCTAAGGCATCCACAGAGTCAGAACCACTTGACCACTGAGCCCTGGAAATCCAAACATGCTTTCTTGTTTCAGTACTCTGAACCAGAACATTCCAGTTCAATCAATTCTGCTAGCTTGCATTTTACAAGTGAGCATAAGAAGGACCCGGGTTGTGTTCCTTCCACCCCTCCAATCCAACAACCATAGGCAGGTTAAGATCTTGTGGGACTTCTGTGGCTCATGCTGAAGGTGTGTAAAGGGTAGGAGAGACCACAAGTGTCAATTATATATCTGCAGGAAACACACTCCTGATATTGGAATTGGCTCTAAAGAGCCTTTGGCTGAAGGAAAGTCATGGGCCCAGACCTACCAGTAAAGAGACCTGAACACCAGATGCTGGTGAGGGAGAGGCAATAAGAGAGAACAAGAAGACAGGGCAAGAGTCCTTGTCCCAAGTCCAGGGGCCAGAGGCAATAAAATGCACTTCAGATAGCAAGGGTGCTTCAGAAATATCCACAGAGCAACCAGATGGATGGCTTTCAGCACCATCCCACAGAAACACAGAACAACTAAATGTTAACCCATAAAGGACACAGTGCTGACTGGCATGATGATGTGAGCCCATGATCCCAGCACTCAGGAGGCCCAGGCAGGAGGATCTCAAGATCAAGGCTGCCCTGGACTATACAACAAGACCTTGTCTCAAAAACTGAAATATAAATTCATGCATAAAAGCAAAAGCTATGTGTGTCCCACAAAGAGGAGCTTTCCTGTCTGGAAGGGAAGGAAGCAGATATGCAGCCTCTACCATTAGCACAGGGCAGTCCCATCACACAGCAAGAGGATAGAACAGATGGCAGAATATAAGGAGAGGACCTTGCAGGCAGGAGCACAGTCCATGAGAAAGTGTGTCCAAGGACGGAGGGAAACAAGGATTTTTATGCAAATGTGGCTTTAACAAGGGAAGCATCTTGAGAAAGATCAAATTGGTGATCCATGGCTTTGCCATGCTCTGGAAAAAATCGTGCTAGAAAGCTCTCTGGTGAGGACTTAAGGGTCCAGACACATGTGCTATCTCTAGAGTCCCTCTCCCAGGTGCTCATCCTCAAATAAAGGCTGGTCATCATAACAGCAGACGGCTGGAAATAACCCAGTTCCCATCACCAGGGACTTGTCAGGCCAATGGGGCAACATTTGATCAGATTAACGAGAGAGTGCAGAGGAGTTCTGATCCCTCTGGGTGTCTACCAAACACTAAGGTAAATGATTGAGTTAAATAATGACCCCTAACACAAGGCAGTGGTGGCGCATGCCTTTAATCCCAGCACTCGGGAGGCAGAGGCTAGAGGATCTTGGTGAGTTTGAGGCCAGCCTGGTCTACAGAGCGAGTTCCAGGACAGCCAGGGCTACACTGAGAAGCCCTGTCTCAGAAAATAAAAACAAAACAAAATAACTCCCAATACATAATAGTGATTAGAATGCCTAACCTGCTTTGAGGGGAAAGAGAGAAAATTATAATGGTCTGGTAGCTGGCAAGTAATAGGTTGGCACCCCTGCTCCTCAATTAACCCTTTGTACAGCTTTATAAATGTAAATGTTATGTT